TCCAAATGAAAAGAAAATGATTTTATTGTAAGAGTATGGAAAACTAGGGATGCTCAGTAGCCCCTGTCAGCCTTCCCCTGTCCTTGAAGGCTACAGATTGCATCCCTTTTTTAAGCCCATGTTGGGGGTTTCAAACTCAAAATGAAGGGTTAATATATAAGGTATAAAGCATTGATTTCCAGTCCACTGAGTTTAATAAAGCTATTCTTTACCGGTGAGGTAAGGTGAGAAAAAGCTTTAAGGTTAGTATGAACACTACTGTGTATCTATAGATCCTTTATTAGCATTATAGAGAAGCTCAGTTTACGGTTAATAGTTCTATGAAATTCTTATTTTTTAAATTTTATTCTGAAATGATATCCAAGCGTACAGTGTCGTGATAAGCAGGCTGAGTGGAACAGTGGTTAACGTAAAAGGTGTATTACTAGTAGGTTTGTGCTGAACTACTGACTCACTTTGTGTTAAATAAGTCTTGAGCAACTTATTTAACCTATTTCAGCTCCATCCTTTAGACAGGATGTAAAACCTAGAACTCGCATTGAATGTCTCTGCAGCAATAGCTGTTGATAGATATCTCACCCCCTGGACTCTGTAAATCTATTTTGGTAAAAGTGTGAGTTAGAAAACATTATTATTATTATTTACAGCTATTATTATAACTTCTTTATTCCATGAAGTGGGATTGCTGTATATCTTAAGAACTTCAGATATCTTGCAGTGCTTGTGCCAGGGTTGTCAGATTTCCCCCTATTGCTACAGACGAGCTTTCAAGATGCAACTGAAAATCACCAGATGGAAAAAAAAAAGACTAGCTTATTAAACCAGCAACAAGCCTGGCACATTTATTACTGTATAAAAGTTATGCAAGGTCATTCAAGGAGTCACGTTAAACAATGCACAATCGCAGGTTTCTGTTGGATTCTGTAACCAAGTCTTTAGCGATCATTATTACCATACAAATAGACAGATCTATTTAACAACCTTTTCTTTATCACAGAACACTTATTCTTTAGCAATGCACTGGCATTGAAATGTGCCTTTTTTGTGTGTCAGAGGGTTGATAAAGGCAGGGAGCAATAGAAGGAGCAGAACTGACATCTTCTTAAAAGATGATAGCAGAGCCAAATCAAATAGGATGGAAAGTCATTCTCGTTCTGCAGATAGGTAGCTCATTTCTGGTGTCTGTGAGTTTGCATCCCCTGTGACTCTCTGCCTAGGAAAGATAGCTCTTGGACTTCATTAATTATTTTCTCTTCTTCGTCTTAATGTTAATGTTATTTTTAATGAGACTCTTATTTTTCCTTTTCGATGAAAATCTTTATATTTTGGTTCTCAAAGCATAATGTGTAATGGCATTTTTTTTTTCATGAGCCTGCAAGAATTGAAAATCAATTATTTGCGTTGTAAGACAAAACGTTGGATTGCAAATGAACTGCAGGTACTGTATTCTGATACAATGGCAGGTTGGTTGGTTAAGATAAAGGAGGTTTGTTATTTTCTATTTTGTAAGATAAGAGCCAACGTGTGGTTTGGGTGATATTGCCATTTTTAACTTTCCTTAAGATATTCCTTTCTTCTTTAATTCCTACTTTATGCCTTTAAGCAGTTTGCTTTCTGGTAAGCAGGAATGCTTTTATAAAATTAGGACAACTCAAACAGATATTGCATTGATGAAATCTAACTGGTAAACACTTTTTTTTCATCTGTATGTTTGTCTTTTCATTTATGAAAATCTGTTTGTTCTGCCCTGCCAAGCAATAGCGTGACTTGCTTTCACAGAAATCACCCAGTTACACTTGAACGACGCTTCTCGTGTCTGTAAGACTCGGATTTACTTACATTACGGAGAATGTCATTGCCCTTTCCAATTGTAAGTAAAAGCCAGGAGGAAATCCTCTTGATTTTAATGCAAAGCTTTGGCCAAAGAGATCCTACAGTAGTTATCTCTAAAGTGCCGAAAGTTGGACAGCTCTTCTTTCACATCAGAAGTGTACTCATTAAAGGAGGAGGAATCAGAATTATACAAGTGGCTTTTATCACTGAAGGATCGTATTGGCCTCTGACACACCAACATGTCTGCATCCTAGCTGGCTTGCATTATGCTAATTAATGTAGCTGGAGGTGAAAATTTTGCAAGAGAAGTCTTGATAACTGTCATTAACGGAGGATTAGACAGATGTTGATGCATTGTTCCCCTTTGAAGGGATTATTTACACTTCTCAATTACTAAGGCCCAGATGTCTGACGGAAAATAACCTCCATCAAAATTTAAAAACGTGGACTCCAATTTTCTAATTCCTAGAGATTTTCTAATTAATCTTTCTTCATAATTAGGAACATGAACTAATTGCCTGGCACTGTCATAGAGGGTGGTTTAGATCCAATGACTAGTAACATTGCTTCCTTTGCAATTTCTCATTTTGCTTAATGTCCTATTAATGTGACATGCTGCTGGCTTTAGTTATTTTTACAGGTGTTCTACCCTTTCATATCAGATCTTGCAGTGTTATTTCCCCTTTACAGCATTTTACAACACACAGTACTGTATATACTGGAAACATCCTCCTCAGTTACATGTGCACTGGAAATAACCTTACAGAGCATTTTTTACATTTCCGTGTTATTGTCAAAATCATGCTGCATTTCATACTAAATTCTCCATTCTTATTTTTTTTTGCAGGAATAGAAAGTATCTCTTGATTTTGCAAACTTGAACCTCTTAACTTCAATATCCTTCAGGACCAGACTTTATATTTGAATGTTCTAGTTACTATGGGGCTCCTGATTAAGGATTTACATGCCTGACTTCAAAATCCCATTCTCACTGGTTCCAGAAACTTATTGCAAATGCAGGAAACGAGAGCCCACGTGACGTCTTTGATATTAGACTTCCAACTTAAGAACTACTTGAAGAGCACTTTGCTATCGTGTCCTGTGCATCCTTAACAAATCCCTCGGAAAAGTATTTATAAAAATTAACTTCTCTTGCTGAGGACTCATTGAAAGGAAGAATTACACGAAAGATAAAACACTTTATCGTCAGTGAAAGACCGGACAATGCAAATCAAGAACTGGGGGAGATGGGAGAAACAATGAATATTAAGTGCTTTGGAATCTAAAGCTATCCTGCCAGCAAATTGAAACTGTATATCCTGGGGGGAAAAGGCTCCAAATTGCTAATTATTGCCTCTGAAAAGGGCTGTTTCTGATATGTTTGCTTCTGAAAGGCCAGCGCTTAATGAAGCAGTGCTGCCTTTTTTCTCTCTGCTGCTTTCAATTCCCTCTCTGGACTCCCTCCCATGCCTTGAACAATGAGGGCCTGGGAGCAGCCCGCTCCCACAGGCCTTGGCAGGAGTAGGCCAGGGGCAGCATTCTGAGGGAGCCACAGAGCGCCGTGAAATATGGAGGGAAAAGATAAGGTGGTGGCAGCAGAGAGAGCCCCTTTCCCAGGGGCCGAGGGGGAAATTTGCAGTTATTAAGAGGAAGATGAGAGAGATTAAAAGCCTTTGTGCTCATTTCGCTGGCCTTTTATTGTGCGGCTTCATCTCTAAGATGAAAGGAGTTATAAATGACTTTTTCTCAATTCTGCTAGAAGCTGGTTCATGGCAAAGTTTCATTTATATGTTTCAATATAAATTCTGTATATTGGTGGCGCGCTGACTGCTATGCGTACACTCACATAGTTCAATTTGTGTTTGCGGGTGTGGACTTCACGATGGCGAGTTATTTCGAAGTTTAGGATTTTAGAACTAGGACATTGTTTCAACAGACAACAGGTGAGCAGCAGCCTGTGAACTTAGATTGTTCCAGAGACAAGAAGAGAAATTGCCTCTTTAGAAAGACCCAACGGTATTAACTAGCGGGCTGATAAATGCTAGGGGACAATCCCAGACCACCGATTGCAGGCGTCTTCGAAGTAATGTCAGCATTGGCAACGACATGGTCACATGTTTTTATTCATTTGATACTCACTTGATTGCCAGTCAGGAGCAGTAACCGTATCGTCCGTGCCTGAGTGTTAAATTGTTTTTTTTTAATTTTCCTTTTTTTTCCTTTTTTTTTTTTTTTTCCGGCGGGGGAAATTAACTTTTTTCAAATTGCCACCTTATTTCGGCAATTAAAGGGGGGGGCCTTTTTTCCTTTGTTTTTCTGTGTGGGTCTCTTGTGTGTGTGTGGGAGGGGTCTCGGGGCGCCTCTCTGAGTCTGAAGTATTATTTACAGTCAGGAAAAAATGGGTTATTCTTTTTTGTACCTAGTCCGAATTTGAGCCAATCAGGATGATATCGCTTGGTGTGGAAAGCTGAGAAGGACTGCGTATTTTTCAGAATCACCAACATTGTTTTGGTCCAGGAACTGTCACTTCTGTTAATGAGGTCCGTATAAGAGGAACCGTAAATTTTTAATAATAATGTTCACTTTCTAATCATATTCTTCCTACTTACCCAATAGCTGTATATTTCAAAGGAAATGAAAATAAATATTGGCTCTACAATGCACAATGGATAACTTTGTGCTTTTTAATTCCCAAATCCGAAATGAAATCTTTAATGAATGTAATAGCTTTATCATTAAATACAGCGTTAGAAATCGGTGTTTAAGATTAGAACAATACATAACCTAACCACCATAAATATGCGTTGATTAATTCTATATATGAATGAGCTCCGGCGAAGAGCGGTGATAACGGATTTTGCTTAATGAGAGCTTACTAAAATGTTCAGGTAAACCTCAAGTTTTTACCTAGACCTCGCTCTGCTGTAGTTTTAAGTTTCGTGACGAGACACGAAAAGACAAGTCTTTTTTTGCTTTAGGTTATTATGTGTAAATGCAGTCAGTCATCAATCTAAGCGTATTTTTTAAAATACATAAAACATGATCTGATTTCAGTGCTCTTTCATCACGCTGCGTTTGAAGAAAAGTTGGTTAGATATCGGATTTCTGCAGGGCGAAACTGCCTGCCTTATTCGGGGCGGAAATACGTAGCTAGTTTCTCCTGCGGGGCGGAAGTACGTTCGAGGTATTTAGCTGCGAAAACAAAACAGGCAGGAACTGCGGCTGGTGAGTTTTGTATAACAACAGTACCATACCGAGGAAGAAAGATTTAATGCTGTTTTCCGAAACGGCACATATAGCTTTAAGCGTTAATAAGTGGTTTGTAATATGCGACTTATGCTGTCGAAGCTCTGACACTATGTTTGTAACGAAAGGTAGTATACATGCCTGCTAAGGTCTGGACTAATAGGCATGTTAAATAGGCAACCAGAAACCTGAACAAAAAAAACCTGATATGACCAAAAAGAACAATTAATAAAACGGAGGAGACGAATCTCAATATGTTGTGCTTTTACTTAGACAGACCTGCAACGTTGAAGCCCCGTTTTCCAAGCGTGCCTGTTTTATCAGAATGCTCAATTCTTTAATACTCAAATTTTGCTACCCTTTGCGACGTAAAAATGGAGCAGAATTGAGTGCATGAAAGGCACGTGTGCTTGTACATGAAGAACCTCCGCGTTTTGCCACCGACCATCTGACATATTTGTCGAAATTGGCAGCGGACTCCGCATTGTCCTCGGTTTGACTCTTGTAAACACTGAAGGTATTTTCGAGGATGCGCGATGACGTCAGTGAAGTCGGAGCCAGCAGCACTGTTAAAACTGCAGGTTTTGCGCTTTGCAGTGAACACTGCCCTGACTGCGAGGAATCCAACAAGTGAAATTAAACGCTTGCAAGCTGCATTCAGAAGGGTGTTAAATGACTCACTTAATCAGTATTGACTCAGTACAGTATGGAGCGGTATAAGTCATTGCAAACAGTTTTGCACACAAGTGATTTGATTTGGGTTTGGGCCCAAATTCACAAAGAAGCATACGGATCTTTCCTTTCACCTTACAGCATATTACACCAAATGATTGCTGTGAATTGCGTTGTGCTGTTTAGAAGCGAACACAAGGCGTTTCTAAGCATACATGAAAAGTGGATAGATTGTAGAATTGGATTTTAAGATGTACAGGCTGTAAATGCATAGTACCCAGGTGTCCAGAGCACAGATATAATATCAATTCACTCTCTCTGTAGAAATATTACAGAAACTCTCCTAGTTTCCCATTTTGCATAATTACCCAGCGTAACCTATTGCTACCTGCCTGATTGAATTTAATTAAGGTGGTCTCTTGGCGTTTCTTTGGTGATGCAGTTTCAGAGCAAACCTAGATTAGACTGCAGCATGTGTGATGTAAGTCACTCTTGATACTAGAGACCCTGGCTCTCCTCTTTCCGTCTTTTCGTGATCCGCGCTGTGTTGTTTCCGTTGCCAGAGGGGGTGGCCGCGCTGTGATGGACGAGCTGGTGCACGACCTGGCGTCTGCGCTGGAGCAGACCTCGGAGCAGACCAAGCTGGAGGAGCTGTGGGAGGAGATGGTGCTGAGCCCCCTGCAGCAGAGGCGGCAGATCCGCCGGCGGCGTGGCCGGAAGCGGCGCTGCGACTCCTCCCACTCCCTGGAGCACGCGCGCTGCTTCAGCGAGGCCTCCGAGTCCAGCCTGGACGAGGCCGCCAAGGACTGCCGCGAGAGCGCCAGCGCCAACGCCAACGCCGCCAACTTCAGCGACTCCGACGACATGATCGTGGCCAAGAGGCGGCCCTCCTTCTCCTCCTCCCTGAAGAGCAAGCAGCACTCCTGGCCCGAGTCGGACTCCTTCACCGAGAACACGCCAGGGCGGCCCCTGAGGAGGCGGCGCAAGGTCAAGCGCATGACCTCGGACGTGACGGTCAGCCTCCAGGAGAAGCTCAAGGTGTCCGAGCTGGACAGCGAGAGGGCGGGCAGCCACAAGCTGGCCAAAAAGCAGCGCCTCTCGAAGGTGAAGAAGAGTGCCTGCCCCTGGGCTGGGGGCTCCGAGCCGGTGGGCAGCAGTGGGCTCGTCCACCAGGAAGGCTGGAAGGAGAAGATGATGTTTGAGTCTGAGGAGCAGAAGGAAGCCTCTGATGAAAACATGTCCGAATGGTAATGTTCCCTTCAGGACCCTCTGTGGTTCAGCCCAGCCATAATGTCGGTGAAAACGAATCTCACACCTAAAACGTAGTTGAGTGTAGGGTAACGAGACCAGTAGTTGAATAAGGACTAGGTCATAAATCTGATTTTTCTCTACAAACTATCAACAAGCTGTTATCTTTTTCTGACTACGTACATACTCTGGAGCCCCAAAGCAGATTCTGATACTTGCGTTTTTCTCTCTTCAGTCTGTCACACTTAATCAACAGACAGCGTAGTGGTGCATGCCTGCCTCAAATATGTGGCCCAACAGTGACATGCCATGCATCATCAGTATATGAAATACATTCATTCCTCTGTCAATTAATTTGTAACTGTACACTCTGGAAATGAACTGCATTGTGCATTCACAAGGAATTGATTTCTTGCACGGTATGATATAAAAGGAACACAGATTATGACAGTTGGGCAGGCAATAACATAGGGAGCTTTTTGAAACCATGTTGAGAGATAATTTCTCAGGTTTTCCTTTAATATATAATATGCACAATTTAAAACAGGGCTAATCATGATACATAGCGGTACCAATGTTAGAATAGTGGAACAATCAAAAGAATTATATATTGTTTCACACAGGTTTTCTGTTTCGGAGAATATGATATAGTAGAGTATAACTTTGGAGCAGTTTGTTTAGGTTCCAGTTAAACCTAATGACTTTTCTTGTAAGTTCATATAATGGATATTTTTTCATTTAATGTGTATAATATATGTGTCAAAATGTTCCATAAAATAAGTTATATTGACAAGTCTGAATTCAAACTCAATTTTCGTACATCCTAGATAATTAACAATTTCCGCTCTATTCCCTGAATGCTTTAGCTGCCCATCTGTTCCTGACATACTTCCTAGCCAGTGCAGGGTAGTTCCCATATGTTCCATGTAGACGTGGTGTAGAAATACACTTGTCCTTGCACCCAGCACTTTTTTTTTTACATCTAGCTTCCTCGTTTCTTTTGTGAAATGTTCAGATGCCAGTGGTGTGCACTGACGTGCATCTGCCTAGAACTAGTAGGGTTTTCCCTCTGGGGAGCTTTCCAGAGCAAAATAACCACCAGAAAACCCACAAAGATATCCTCCCATTCAGCCTGGGTGTCTGAGGAAAATAATGTAGGTGTAGTTTGTTGTGGTTCTAAAGAGAAATAAGTGAGCTACTTAATTGACTCCATCTTTTGTAATAATGTAGTAAGTTACAAAATCATGAGCAGTTCTGAGAAAACATTTTAGCATTTAATGGGGGGGCTCCTTGGGAGTGTGGGACAACATTGTGCATCTTCAGACACCAAGGAAATGAAAGGGGTGTCATTTACCTCTGTAATAACCAAGCAATGTTCTCCAAAGAAATGTCTTCTGTTCTCTCTGCCTTACAGCTTCTTGGGGCGTTTTCTTTGAGGGTCTCGTTAACTGACGGGCTTTTTTTTTAATAAAAAAAAAAGAAACGTCTGGAGTAACCAACAGTATGGAGACAGAAAGCTGTACATCTTCTAGTTTAATTTGTGCTGACCTCTCTGGCCTCTCAATGGCGCTTGTTTTCTTATTTTATGGAAAAATCAATAGTCTTTCTGACAGAAAACTGCTCCAGAGAAGAAATAAATGGAAACAGCACAGCTTGCTGTCAATCATTTTTCACTTACAAAACGCTACATTTTAAACTGAGTTCAGCCAAAGTATTAAAGGCAACAGAATCATTGGATGTGATCTGTTTACACAAAAAAAAAGTAGAAGAAAAAAAGTCTTGACAGGGCTAACGTGGTCGTACTTACGAGTTCAGGAATGCAGTAAATTTTTGGAGTAATCAATGCGCTGTAGTAAGTGTTGCATTTGCAACAGATTTCGGGCAGTTATTGTTAACAGTTTTTACTCATTGTACTTAAATGCTCTTGATTCTTTCCATTAGCCCCTGCCTATCACCTACCTAACCTTTTAGACATCTTTAGCCTCAAGGTCAAGGCTAGACGAGAACAGACTTCCCTTATGTTAAGTGAAGTGCATTCTAAGCAGATGTTCACAGCTACAGTTGGACTCCCCATCCTTGAGTAAGCTCACATTGGCCTAATGGCAAGGTTGCCACCCGGCAGCTGCAGTGGCACTGGGAGAGTTATTCACCTGTAGTAAACCAGAGAGCAGGTCTTTGTCATGGAACGTTTCAATAGATGCCTAACGAACTACTGGCTTCAGTCAGCAGCTGTGATAAAAAGTCATTTGAACATGGCTGACTTAGAAAGGTAGCTTATTTCACTTTTTGTATTTTCCCTTGCTTTGAAATTTGGAAACCATGAAGGGAGGCTTGGGAAATGCAGAATGCTGAAGTTCATTTAATAAATCTCTGCGACTAATCCAATTTGCCAAGTACTGGGAGGGTGGAATAACTTTTTAATCAGGCACCAGTAGAAAAGAGTTGGATTTAGGTTAGGCAGATTGATTGAAGACTGCTGGGTTCCCATTATCAGTATGCCTTTCTGCAGTCTTCGTTCTTTCTTCTCTTTTATTTTACTACTGGAATGAGGAGAAGCTCAATAAATCAGAAAATAATTCTGCAGCTTCATAATCTTTCTGCAAGCCAAACATCAGGTCTCTGGGGCAGGGGATTATTTCCTAATGATTGTTACTCATCTGGCTCTTGTGTCAGTTTCACCTCTCCAGCTTGTATAAATAAAAAGAAACCACATGGGAGCAGCTCACTCTGAGAAAATAAAATCGGTTTTGGGGGCGGTTTCCCTTTGCTTGAATTTTTAGGGCATTTGCAGTTAAAGTTCTTGGAATTGGGTCTCATAATTGTTTGAATAGATGTTTAACAGTTTGTTTCCAAAATTCCACAATGAAAAACGCCTTAGCAAAACTGGTTCTCTCCAACACGGAATGTTTAGAAATATTATCTGGTGTCAAGTATCCGAGCTTTCCTTGTGTATTCAACTATTTTGAATTTGTAGACGTTTTTAGTACACTGATTGTGGAATAGTTATAGGAGCAATGTTTTAATACATTATGCTACTATAGTTTAATTTCTTATTAAGTAAAACATTATTTTTTTAATTAACAGCACAACAGTTTTTCAGGAGTATACATGCAAAATTATTTTTTTCAAAAAGTGAATGGGAAAGTAACAATGAAAGGAAAACAGACAAGTCCACAGTACTGTAGTCCATAATAGTGATTTTAAAATATGAACTGGCCTAAATGCATAATCACTGTTTTTCATTTATAAAATGTTGCCTGTAATTATTATGTTTGCTGTTCAAAACCTGACATAATAAGAAGCAGTGCAATACAGTGTCTAAATATGAACATTTCACACTTTCCCAGAGAACTTATGTGAGAGGGGAGAAAAAATATTTCATCAGCTGATTAGATTATATATGTTTAAATTAGATAAGACTCTATTGATCCTGAAGGGAAATTGATGAAAAAATAAAAAATAATTTTTTAAAAATTAAAAAATATATTTTAAGCTTTACTTGTAAAATATAGTTTAATATACTTTTAATAACACGGGCACAAAACTTTGCATGGGCAATAGGTTGTGCTATATTACCCCTTAAAGACTAATTAATACTTAAGGCATGTATCTGATTAATCGTTTAAACTTATTGTTTTTAACAGAAAGCTGAATTTTTCAGCTGTTCAGGAAGAGCTGTAGGGATTTTTCTGGTAAATAAAAGAGGGAAGAATGAGAATTGATGTGAATGGGATTGGAAAAAATGCATTCTTTGTCTTGCAACAAGTCACAGCAATGAGCATTGCACAGAAAGATAGATGTGAAAGGCTGAGATATAAACACCGCAGCCTCACAGTGGAGATTAATATTCATTAAAGAGGACAAGTGGGTGCCTGAATGTGCTAGGACATGTAGCACTGACAGTGGTGACTTGCCTCCTGCCCGTTTAATATGGAATAATTTGCTCTGTGGCAGAATCAAGAGGCAAGCCCTGCTTACAGAGGTGGGTAGACAGCTGAGAGCTGTGGTGGCGGCACGACTCCAGTCTTGCAGCAAATCCCCCAGGGAGCTCCCAGGCTGTACTGTATCCTCTCCACATCTGCTTCTCGCAGGGGTGTGCGGGCCAAGTTGGAGACCATATGGCAAAAAGAGGCAGCGAACAGGCTGGCAGTCTGGGATGCACGTCAGAGGGATGTGTAGGCAATATGGCAAACATTAAAGGCAAAATAAACCTGACCTCTTATTTCCAATGGAGTGGAAGCTCGGGGGTTTGGACTGTGGGATGGGCAGTGATGTCCTTGTATCCCCAAGAACAGGAGCCTATTGAACTCATAGAAATGAGAAGTTGTGCCTTTTGTGCTGCTGGTTCTTTCCTTCCCCTTTATTGTGGGTTTAAAGAAGTTGTTTTGTTTAAATGGTAAAAGTGTATTATTTACAGTAAAGTCATTAAATCATACTAAATGGAGTCTTTTAGAATTGTACCAGGAGCTCACTGCTGCTCTGGTGTTTTTTTTTTGTGTTACAAACAGCTAGTAAAGAAATTCATTCGTTGAGAACTGGTGTACAAGTTTTACAAACCTCAGCAGACAATAAAACCAACCACGAGCAACCTAAAAAGTGTTTGTATATCCCTGAACCAAATCTGCGGCATCCTTTTTGACGAAACAGCGCTGGCAGAGTGACACAGAGTGGCCTTTTCCACACATCCATCTTTTTCCCCATTCAGAATGTTTCTGTTTTTCTCCTCGTGAGACTTTCTCCATGTGGCCTCCTGTGCCGATTACTGCGTTAAAAGTTTGATGTTGTGGAATTTCTCAAGTGCCCTTTAGGATTTGAAAGATCTCGGTCTAATCTCCCAGAAGCCACCTTTGTTGTGATCTGAGATGAGAAAGTGGCCCTCGTTTCTCATAACCTTTTTTTTTTTCTCCCGGGTCATACCGATTGTCCAAAAGTGTATTGTCCAGTGGCATGGCAGAACTTGTTTTTTTTTTCCCTTCAATTTAATGCAAATAACCTTAACTTTTGCACTCCCCTTGGATTTTGTGTTTGGCTAAATTTACTGGACCAAGTAGTCATTATCCAAAGTCTAACGTCTCTAGCGCACAGGAGTGATCGGGCCTGTGGGGATGCGACCTCAGAGGAATAGGGCTCCCAGTATTACTGCTCCCCCCTGTCCCCCCATGCCCGGGGGGGCTCCTCCAGTTTAAATACGTGTCTGTGAACAGATGCCGGACAGTTGCCATATGCTGGAGTAGTAATCGGGGCCAGGCAAGGGCTTTTGCCAGCGTTATTTAAATTAACAGAAGGAGTGAACCAAGTAAATCTGGCGTGCTCGTGTTCAATGATGAAACATGACATAGAGGAGATTAGGTTTGACAGCACCGCTGATTTAAATTAAGTTTTGTGAACGTTACTTAGAAGATTCAATCACAGTTATTGTGGTGTCGTATTTATGGTCCTGCTGCTCTGCAATCATGGAAACACGGTAGATATTTTGGAAGAGTCACTTTCAACGAGTCTCGGGTTAAATTTTCTCTAAACGGCATGTTTCTGCGTGGTATCATTGTACTTAATACTTAAACTTAGAGCATGCAAAAGAAGCCTCATAAATATCACTCGCCTACATGAGAAGCATTTCATTTTGATAACCAGCAAGCCTGTGCCATTTTTTTATTTCTTCATCGGTCAGCTGAAACTTGACTGTAATGAGGTGGAGATCTATGTAGATAAGCCACGTAGAAAAGCTATGCAATGTAAGAATTAACTTGAGTAGTTTACTAACCCAAGTGTGCAAAGAGGACTTCTGCCAATGCAAACTCTGTCCCTTCATTATTACACTCCCTATAGAAAATATCACAGAATGTATATGATACAGCCTTCCTTTGTCTTAGGTTTGTGCATTGTATTTTTTGGCTTTTTGTGAAAAAAGATCTGATATGCCATTAGTAAATGTACAATTAAATTATATACAATTATTTTTCTTTTCTCTCCTTCCAGTGAAACCAGCAGTGTATGTAGCAGTGACCCTGGCCTTTTTACTAATGATGAAGGGAGACAAGGTAAATTAAACTCCAGGTGAAAGGGTTTAAAGACTTGCCTGTAGATGTGACAGCTTATGTGGCATATTTATTTCTGTTTCGTTTCAGATATTATGCATTTATGTCTTGATGTCTGGTAAAGCAAAGTTTGATGAGATCTAATGAATGTGATTACTGTCAAAATGTGTTCCTTTACGGGAGAGAAAACTTCCCACAAAACCTGTTATGTTCCCTAATTTACAAAACAGTGTTAAATTATCTGTTCAGTGAAACCATTGAAAATGCAAGAAATGCAAATGAATACATTTCAATTATTGTGGTTTACAGTCTGATCCCAGATGTTTTAAATGATTTTTGTTACAGAAAAAGAGAGAGCAATACAGGCTAAAACTTAGCCATTCTTAAATGGTGACATTTTCGAATCTTTGCAGCTGATAAGTGCTAATTAACGGGGTGTGTCTGTTTAGGTGCAATTATAGCTTAAATGCGTGCTTGCTTATCTTTCAAAAAGACCTGCGCTGAGCTGCATCTACAATGAAATGGCGCACAGCTTCAGACGGTGCTAATGAGAGGTTGTCAGGTTGTGTTAATGAGCGCTGAAAGCTTTGCTAATCACATTAGATCTGGCACTTTGAAGGCGCGCTCTGATTTAACAGTTGTCACTACACCTTGTCTGTGAGAGGCATGGCCTGCTGGTGTGGGTGACTGACAGGTCTGAGGAGAGGTCGTCTGTGGGGAACCAAGGGGGGACTGCTTCCTTTTGGCTGCTGTTAACCCTTCCATCACAGGGGAGACGGGAGGGGGGGGTTTCTGAGAGCATGCCTCTCGATCAGGTGTTGGGGAACTCAGCTGCAGATCATTTCTGTTTAAAAATGTGTCCGCCCAGTGTAACTTCACTGAGCTGCTCGTTCTCCTGCACAGCAAACACGTTCTCCTTCCGCAGCAATGTTACTGGAGAGAGGCCTGGTTCTGCTGGAGGAGAGAAAAGGTGTGCTGGGTTTTGCTCATTGTCATTGACAGGAAAGTCAGTTAATAACACTGCTGTTTGTGAAGTTCTTCTTGGAAAGTGAAGTTTTAAGTATTCAAGCCGAGAGCAAAGTAAAGAATCTTTGCTTGTTCATTTCTGTCTATTTGACATTCACAAGACCTTTTTTTTTTCCTTTCTAGAAAGGCTTAACTCCCTTTCAAAACCTGTAACTTGCCAGTTGAGTCTTTGCTTCATGTGGCGGCGGATTGTGTTTTTTTATGTTGTTCTGATTGGTCCTAGGAGACGATGAACAGAGCGACTGGTTTTTCGAAGGCGAGTGTGGCCCTGGGATCGGGGTGCCTGGTTTCCTTCCTGGCTGGGAGACTGACTCTCAGCCAGAGCTCGAGACCCTGGAATGTGGCCTGGAGAAGCTCTCCTCCCCAACGTTTCTGCAGCCTGCCCGGCCTGCACAGAGAGGTGGGGAGTAGCAGCCTTAGGATCAGTAGACGTAGGAGTGGTCAATAGCATAAGATAGCATAAGCATAAGCAGTAATAGCATAAGCAGTAATTAAGATGTTTTCTTCAAATCAATGTTAGTGCATAAGCATGTATGCATCATGCATGATTATTTCCCATCATTAGATAGACATTCTTTATTTTTATCTGGAAAGGTTAAAGTGTAACATAACAGTTGCAACTAAATTCCAAATAAACTGGAACAAACCATGCAAGTCATTTTCTTATTGTGCTTTAATAAAGGGTTAACCCTTTCTCGTCAAAGCTGTTCATTATTATCCCAAACCTTAGACTTTTATGTGGTCCTACAGGTTATCACGCCCGTTTAAACCGTCTGCCAGGAGTGGCTGCTCGCTGCATCCGAAAGGGAAGGAGGAGACTCCTGGGAAAGGTGAGGGATGTCCTTTGCCCAGGGGTTATATTGCTGGATGTAATATAAGGATCACATTAGGACTTGTAGCACTTTACAAATGCCGCCTGGATGCTGATGTAGCTTTTCTTGGTCCTTTTCCCACCATGTGATTTCTACTTCCCATGGTATAATTATGTCCTATATTTTTTTTACCTATATATATATATTATTTACTAGTGTTGAATTTACCTTTTATCTACACAATCCTATATTCTATCCAATTCTTCTTGTGTTGACCGAACAGTGTCTTGATTATTTGGATTCTCCCGAGTTTTTTTTCTTCGGCAATGATATCCCTTTGTTACACACACCTTGATCGGTACAATTAATCTTCATACAAGGCACAGCAGGAGCCCCACTGTAGAGCCCTGTGGGACTCCTCTCGCACCTTGTCCATCCGATACACTTCCCTCCTTGCTTTCCTCCACTGGAACTGGGCCCAGCTCCGGATCCATCTGCATGGTGCACCATGAATTTCCACATGTTTAAGTTGAAGAATAAGTTGCTCGTGCTTTCTTGGGTCTTTGCTCCTTCCTGACGTGTTTTGCTGCTTATCTTGGCTAAGGAGTAAAGTATCGGCATTTTTAAATAAAAGGAAAAGAAAATCTAGAGATTGATAAATAAATTCTCTTTGCTTCTATTATATTTTTGTATTGCAGGATAGCAGTGTGGCTTCCATGACCATGGAGAGAATGAGCCATTTTTCGCAAGATCCTTACCAGAAAGAGTAAGCTTCAGCCAGTTCAGCTGCCCATGCATTACAGATGATTGTCCTCAGTCTGCCCACATTTCTCATACTGCTTTGAGTTTCTGTGAAACAGGATGGCTGATTGCTTTGGAATTTCTGTGAGAAAAAGACACCAGTTTGAAAAAAAAAACAAACATCAGGAGTCCCAATAGGAAAATGCAATTTAGTTCAGTAGAAAAAACACTGGTATAATGTAACTGAAACAAATTGATTTTCTGTGACTAAGCTATCTCATTTGCCAAAAAGTATAGTCTTTAAAGAGTCACAGTAACCCTTTTAACTCAACTGGGGTCAGTAGTTTAACTCTTGTATAATATATTTTTAAAATGTTGTCTTATATGTACGATAATTCTTGTTGTTCCTCAAAATTAAAATACTGTTAGGTGACTTGTTTTGTTTATTTGGACCATTTTGACACATGCATAGGTGTTTAAGAAAACATATAACTCAGTAAAAGAACATTTTGTCACTTTGACTCTTATTTTCTTTAATGACCTAAATAAACAGCTATATAATTATTAAACTGATATCTAAGTGCATACAATTTCTGTTAAAAGACAGTTACCAATGTCTTTTAAAAATCAGTGTCCCTTTAGGAGTTGATGGTGGTATTAATTTCATATAGTTTCTAGAGTGACATAGAAAACTGCCAAGAATATTAATATCACGAGAGCTTAAGGTGTTGTAATTACCCCCCCACATGACAGTATTATTCTCTATATTGCTTTTTGAATATCAAATGTTACATGTGCATCTCAATAAACCTGCTTCTGAACATGTTTTGCACAGTAGGGAGCAGTTGTCTTTTGAATCCAGTCTGTTCCACAGTGCAAGTCGTTCAATGAAACATATGTGAAAGAGTCTCAGAAGCAGAACTGGAGTGATCTAAGAATGCCACACGTGGTTTCAATATGAAAACATAAATTGTAGACTTCAAAATAACATATGCTACTTATGTTGATATTGCAGCCTAATGCAAACTAAAGTTTAATCTTTCTTTTTTCTGAAGTTTTTGGTTGCCATCTATTGGAAAAAGAGACTGGCATCAGGTAAGATATAGCTTTTATCACTGCTTTTAAAAATGGTTCCAAAAGCTGTTCCTGTTATTAATTTGGATTGAAATTCATTGTGAAGTCCAGTAAAAAGGGCCACACCTTAAGTGAACTATTAATTTAAAGCAGCAAGATAGCTGTTTAAAAAGTAGCAAGTAATGCTAATCTGGTTAAAATTAATACATTTTTCAGTATATAATGTAAGATAATGTAATATGTAATGTAAATTATAAGAGTGTATGAAAAACAGCTGTTTGGATTGCAGTTTCCTGGATCAGTATTGTCCTTCTTTTCCTGAACTGGTGCTATATTTGCGATTCTCCAATCTTTGGGTACCACTCCCATTCTGCCAGTTAAAATATCCTATCTAGCGGTCCCTTGCATTCCTCATTTCCTTAAGCATGACTGGGAAAATCATCATAATATATACACACAATTTATTGGTACATTGGGTAAGTATCCTCTGCACGTGCCCTCCCCAGAGAAAGTCCATATTTAGATATTATTGTAACACTCTTGCTTTCCTGTACTGTAAAGTACAGTTTATTGTGAATTAAACCATGCAGGTGGTACACAGTAAAAAGGTTTACATATTTTAGTGCTTACGCTCCTAAAATACTGGCATCCTTAGGATTTTTGTTTTGGCTCGTTCTTGCAGCTATCTGTAAGGCCAGACATGTTTTCTGTATGTTTCAGTTCAACCCCTTGTCTCCACTCTATCCGGTGGATGTGGTTTCTGAAGGTTCACACAGGAGATGCTCTTCTTCACTGTGTAAAACCAGGTAAGAGCTCGCTTGTGCTTTTCCTTTGTAGAGCAGTTTTTTCCGACGTTCGGAATTGCTCTCCTGTACAGTTGTGGGTCTGCTTTTGTAACGGGGATCAGTGCACCGAGCACGTTACAGGAGGGCCGTCACCCCCCTTGAAAATGAGTGCAGGGCTCTGCAGCGGCAGGATACCTGGTCTTGAGGTTCAGAGGAGGTTGCCGTGGTCTAGGAAATGGCACCGTGTAGCTCTGAGAGCCTCGAGCGCAGTCCGGTGATCAAGTCCCAGCAGAGGCAGAGCAGAGCTGGGCTCAGTGCATTAGTGCCATCGCTTGAATGTCACAGGCTAATGTCTATCAGCCACTGGGGAAGCAGCGGTCGAGGGGGAGTGTGGCAGCGCTGGGTGCGCTGGGAGTGTGCCGAGTGACTGAGCCCCGGCCCACGCACTTGAAGGGCCGCACTTGTCCCACTTGAAAACAGTGGGCAGTGCTTATGCCTTAGTTACGCATGCCGGTATCTGATGAACAAATATGTGATTCATCTCCATTACTTTGAAAGGTTTGTTTGGAAAAAAAATACCGATCCCCAGATCTTACTATAGTGAAATGGATGTTAACATGTTTTCTGATGTGAGGCTGTGTATTCAAAAGGAAGAGATAAATATGGCTTTAAATAGTAAAGACAACGCTTATTATAATGGTTCCTAAATTTTAATAATAATGAGTACATTAAAATTACTGTCTTTTTAAGACTGTCTATTTTTAATTAATGGAATTTTACTTTAAATTTCCCAGTTAACTCCTCGGGTTAGTTTCCTTTAATTTTTTTTAGGTTGCTCAGTAAGATGTCATTCATTGTTGCTGTGTGCGCTAAATATTGTACACTATAGGAGTCTGATGTTTCCTTTTCCTTAGATGAATCTGTTTTTATTGGATTATTTTTAATCAAAGATTTATTTGAAGTACAAAAATGCGAACATGTATTGTGTTTGATACTCATTAAGCAAGAGGGCTTCATAATTATGGAAGCAAATTTCTTTCAGGTGTTTTATATTAGGGCAGATGTAAAGTAGACATGGCTATTTCCCAATAATACCCAATAATACTGTAGTATTATTGCCCAATAAAACTGCAACATTGCTTTGAAATACTGTTATGTCATCCATTCTTTTAACCTTTGGCTAGACAGTTTATGTAGGGACTTGAAAATTTCAGGAGGGAGATACAGTATTTCCAAGTAAGATGATTATTTTCCTGCAATTTTCTGTCTTTTAAAAGAAAAAAAACAGCAAAGATTATAATGAAACAAATTTAACTGAGGCTTCCTGACCTTAGTGATCACGAACAAGAGTTAATGAAATCAATGTTGTGTTTGAAGAGCTGACTGTAAAGCTAAACCACACTGCTTTCCAAGACTGGATACCTTCATCAAGCCTGCTTCATGAGGGCCTTTGAGAACATGAGAAGATGATGCCACTCACCAGTCCATCAATGACAAAGGATCTAAGGAATGAGCCTATCTCTTTGCAGTCCCTCTTCTGTCTCACTTCCGAAGGTGCTCTCAGTCAAGCTTTGCATTTCTTCAAGCAAAGGAAAATTTCCCATCTGTGATGTTGTCCACCTAACTGCAGCCACATACAGGAGTACTGGAAAAACTCAAGTAAAACTTACAGTACGTCACTTATTCGACTGGCTTCATCACTTCAGGAAACTCACTGATATTAGGGTAGGCTAGCTTACCTTGATCTAGTATTTTATTGATTATCTTATTTTGGCAAATATAGAGCACTATATTATTAAGCAGTAAACTAATCCGCTGCACTTATTTAAGAGAGTGTGACCCTTTTTATGAATTTGTGTATTATCAATTGCACAAGCTCTGGCTAGCCATTTGAATTTAAATTGCATCACGTTGGGTAAACATCCCATTATAATGTGCTCTTGAAATAGATTTTATTGTACATCCTTAATTTTATTTGAATACTTTACTCCTGGGATAACTCACAAAAAACTGCTTCAGGGAGGAGTAAAAAAAAACAGTAAAGAAGAGACAATGTCTAGAAGCAGGCATTTAAAAGTATCCCTTTCTTCTGCACCTGAAAGGTTTCCTCAGATTAAGTTTTAAGTATTCTGAATGCTAATTTTTTATCTATTAACAGGTTCTCAAATCCTTACTATGCTTTCATTTAACAGAGGGTCTTAGGGGAATATTCTTAATTCCTTTATAGAGGAATTCAGTGCTCTTTACAGTTCTTCAAAAAGTATAAATCATACTCCCAAATGAAGAGGAAGGTTTCAGTGGTCTTCATGTCTGATGTGTCCCACTGGAAGTACCCGCAGAATTTATCTCATGAAGCTTAGGTATGCACAGCACCTAGCATGCTGTCGCTGTGCCCTTTCTGCTTCATACCTTTAACGCGTCTGTTCATAGAACAAGCCTGAGTGATTGAGTAATTCTGCTTTGTCCTAGCAGCCTCTTTGATTAAAATCTTAAAGCTAAATTCAGCTTAGAACGTGTTTTGGAGTGCTGCTCTGAGCCAATATTCAGTTTCAAAATGATATACACATAAAAATATCATATCATCATGTGGTTTGCACATTTGTAAAAACCCTTGTATCCTGATAGACTTACATAGCTTATGCATATTTATCTGAGAATCCAAAGAATTCTATCAGAATGAATACGAAAAACTAATTGGCAAACGCTTCCTTTAAGACTTTCTACTTTCATTCTGAATAATACTTTTTGTCAGTGGTGTTCAATGTGGTTTCTGTGCCTGGAGCTCTTTTTTAATTGTGACATTTGAACTAAAATATTCTCATTACATGAATTTCTAGACTGAAAACATACAACATCATAGAAATAAAGTACCAAACTTACAATACATATAAATATTTTTTCTTTGCTAATATGCATTAGCAAAGTGGGAATATGAAGTGTGTGCGATTCATGTCTAGTACAAGGGGATAGTTGAGGTGTTAAAATGCATAACTTGTTCCCATCTATCTCTCGTACACTCAAGTTTTTATATTGACTTATTTATTTCTAAATGACATTTGTGCAGCTAGATAAATCATAGTCTGATGCCACTCCTTTCTCAGTTTCATTTTAATTGTGAGATCTATGTGTCAGCAGTTAGTATATTGGTGTGAGTGGCCTATTGATTATTGATTTGCAAGCATTGATTGAACTCTCTGGGGACTCTAATCCTTTCTGATTCATTTGAATACCTCTATTCATCTTCAAATCCCTTTCATACCCCAAGTTATGTGTACCTAATGAAAATAGATTGAGATCTGGTGTCTCGTACATTTCTCTCTTTCTTGATTTATTTGTTTTAATTGATATATCTGCTTTTGGGTTTCAGTGCCAGAATTACAACTGACCCCTGTGTCAATGCAGTTTCATTGTTTTCATCTCTGGGACTGTGAAAGATTTCCAAGATTTTACTGTGAAACCAAGATGCCTTTTGCACTATGTAGAGCAGGTCACCCATTTGATTAGATATAAACCAGCAGGATCCGTCAACACCAGAGTTCAAAATCATCTTGATTGTTGTTTTTGGCAGATTTTGCAGTGTCTCATGCATGGCATGCACTATAAATTATTGCAGAACAAAATGCAAAATGTAGCATATAACCTGGTTTATTTTGCCACATTAGCTGGCAGCACAGTTATGCCAGCTTCTTCCGTTTCTGCTATTTCATAAGCACAATGTTGTGCCGTAAAAAGGGATTTGAACATCAGTGTAATCCTCTCATGAGATAAACCTTCAATCTGCGAACGCACTCTTATAAAATTAAACTCAATGTTTTAAGTCAGTAATTGGAGTAAGATTGTTTGCTTATGTTCTCTCTGAAACAAAACATGTTTCATAGAGCTGGCCCCTTACAGTTACATCCAGGCACACGAGGGGGCCCTTTTCTTGTGATTAACTGTCCTATGAAAACAATCACTTTTCCTGTCACCAGCTGAACTTTGTAAAAGCTGACACCAGTGATTGGTGAAGGGTTTTACAGCACCTTGCCCAGTGATACTGAGGGATTTGCATGCATTTGAAGAAAGCACCGTGGACTCCTGCTAAACCAAGTGACACGGTGCTTGGATTAAGCCCAGTTGAATTCAACCATCCATGCGATCGCTACGTGGGACTGTGTCAGCTCGACGCAAATTTAAAATGACTCCTCCAGGGCAAGTTCTCTTTGTTCCTAAGGGAGGAGTGAACCCTACCTGCTTATCAATAAATGGGCATCAGAAACAGTGTTAGTTTCCCAGTCCAGGAGCTTCGCAAGCAGGAGAAATCTGGTGTTTGCTAGAGAAGGAAACAGCTGGGATTCACTACTCACAGTTTAACAGTATGTAGGGAATAAACATAAGGATGGACTAAAACATTAAAAAATACATCTGTGTATTTTTTTTAATCCTGTAGGCATGCTTTGTGGAATAATGTGGTGTTTAAATGCTGATCGATTTTGGAATTAAAAAGTTAGTTTGTTAAGATTTACAGTGGGGAGTTCAATGCTTGAGCTCTTTATCAGCCGTGCAAATGGCTGGTTATGTGCTGTCCAACAGAGGTACGATTGAGGGATCGATAGCCGCGTGATTTACTAACTGGAGTACAGGTAATCAATAAGTATAAAAGTAAATGAAATATGCATTACTGGGATTTTATTATAGAGAGGGATAGCAGGGAGAGAATAACGGTCAAGCCATTTATTTTTATAACTATTGATTATACAACATAGAGACTCTACTCCCCCCCCCCTCCCCCTTCACCCTCATCCTCTGATTTACGGGTTTTGAGGTCGCAGAAAACGTAGCTTGTTAAAAGCACAGCATGTCACAAGCCACATCTTTCTGTGTTTGGGAAGGGGCTTTGTATTACTGTTCAGACTGACCCACTCACAGGCCTTAGAGGCAGGCTTCACCTTAATTTATTTTTGTAAATATGTCATTTGTTTAAAAATGTTTTTTTGCCTTATTTGAACATTTATATTGGCTGAGAAGCTAGGATAGAAAAGGCTTGTGACAGATCCACATTTCAAGACAGATGGCACTGTACATTGATATAAGTAAAAAAGGGGCTTTTTTCAGCTAAATTTAAGGACCAGACATTATAAAGTTTCAAATCTTTTACTATACAAAGCAAGAGAAAATCACTAATAATCACTCATAACTGCAACAGATTCACTAATGTACTATCAGGAAATTAATATTTTTTGTAGCAGCTGCACTGACATTTTATTGAACAGACATGACGTCGGTAAATTTATTATGCTGATTAACATTTGTCAACAACAGGGGAGCTGTGACAGTTGCAGCTTAGTAGCGCGTGTGACCACTGTTGGGAGCAGTACTGCTGCACATCCATGTTGCATGTTTTGCATCAGGTTGCAGATGCTATCTTGGTTGAATCTCTTACATTCCTCTCTTCTCATAGAGCCTGGACAAGCATGTGCTCGTTCACTGGTCTGTGGGCACTGGACACTACCTTGTCCCAGTCCGTCCCACAAATGTTCAGTCATCCCAAGTCTAACAAGTAGGGTATTCTAAGCATAAATGTCACATTCCCGTCTCTCCAGAGAACCGTCGCTATTCAAACAACATGAGGTCATGCAATGTCTTCCTCTTGACAAGATTCCAGCATGAGTCCACAGGAAGAGCAGCAAGTGTTGTCCCAGGATTGGGTAAATGTAGCATCATACAATTAGTTACAATTAATCATACAATTAATTGACACCTGAAGAAGGCTCCACGGCCGAAACGTTGTGTTCTCTTTCTTCTTTTTTTCAGCATGGAATAAACCTATTACTTGTTCCTTTGCAGCCTACGCATGCTGAGGCAGCTACCCACCTGATCATACAATTAGGTTGCCTTCAGTCACTGCCAGTGGAGTTCTGTAGTGACTTCACTCTCCAGCCCAAAACAAGCCTCTTGGACCTCCCCAACAATTGGTCTCTTGTACACTGGAATTAGTTGCCCCATGCTCACTGGCACCTGTTATAAACTTGATTCCTCACTAAAGTCTTGACTCCATTGCAGTGTACCCGTGGCTCTTGTTTAGCAGGGCATGTTAGTTTCCTTCTGTGTTATTTTCTTCTTCTGATTTTCCCTTTGCTTGACATTCAGCAGGTTCAATCCCCTCGTCACATGCACTAAATCATCTCACACTAATGTGGTGATTTACTGTATGCTTGTAGTGTTTATACAGCAGCCAAAGTCCCTTGATTGTGTCACTGTAAGTCATGAATGATAATATTAAATAAAATAATGCCATAAATATTTAATCAATATCCATGTACAATTTTTTTGTTTAAAAATAAAGGTGGGATGCTCAGTTTCTATAGGGACTTAAGATATAATTAGCCATTTAAGATATTTTAACTACATTATTTTTAGACTGTTTTTGGTCCACTTCCTGAAATAACTTTCTTCCAAGATCATTACGTTCTTCCCAGAAAAAGTAGAGGAAATGTATAATGTTACACAGAGGTAATGGAAATAATTAGAATTTTTTATTTTGCAATCAAGTTTTTGTTCCTTTTTCTTTTCCAGTTGTGCAGTGTATAATAAGGGTCTCATGAATTGCATGCATAATGCCCATTTTGTTCTTCCAAATTCGGGTTACAGTACTGCATTGCTAATGAACGGATCAGAGGATGAGCTCGGTGTGCTCTGTTGGAGAGAGCAGCCCTTGTGAGTGTGAGTGTGCGCCCACAGTCAATTCATCAGTCACACCATGTGCATGTAGTCGGTAGTCAATCCCTCTGCTTCACTGGCAGTCATAGTCAAAGAAAACCTTGACCTTAAGTTTACAACATAGTAATCAAGGGTCTGAGACAACTTCCCTCCACACCAACTTACGGCATGTAACCTGCAGGTCAAAGGAAAAGGTAATTTGTCCACCTGTGCCTGGAGGTGACAGAGACACATGACTTCCACACCTCCTTTTGCTGTGTGATATTTCTGTTAATATGAGGAAGCTAAATCATCAGCACTCACTGTTTCCTATTTCCCTCAGCCCCCTCAGCCTTTCCATGTCAGACTAAGGGCCTGTTTTGAGTTGATCGTGCTTATGGGTTATTTCATGCCAAATGCAAATCAACAGCTTGGAGTCAGAGAATGCAATATTTCTCCCTCTTTTGAGCCAGCCGTAGGCCTACCATCACTGCTGGCTGCTGAGAACTCATGATTTAAATGTCTACTCGTCTTCGATTCAAGAGTTAAATATTCTTTAATGTTTTTTTTTTAACAGACAGACAAGTGTGCACTTGGGATTACTTTGTACTGGAGACATCAAGAGAAGGAGAAAGACTACTGCTGTGCCCAGTTCAGCAGCAGGTACAGGATCTCTTCCCAGACGGACACCAGTTGTGCCTAGAAGCAAAACTCAGATTAAGAAAGAAGCTTTGCTATTTGTTCTATTAAGTCACAACAGGCGTCTTTAGTGTCATTAGTAGAAAACCACACAAAAAAATGTAAATATGAGGGGTGACATTTTTCTAAAGCTGCAAGTTTCATTTTTAGTGTAATATATTTGTGAAAAATAAAGCTCCTTAGGCTGTCTTCTTGCAGTTTTTCTATCCTGGCAGAATAACTAAATTATAAGTAATTGTCCTGTGGTTTGTGTTATTTTGTTTCTGAAGTTTTTTTTTTAAATGCCTTTTTTTTCTTAAATCACTTCAGTTTGGTCTGTTGATTTATTGGCCAATGCTGTCCACGGACCAAAGGTGATGGGAATAAAAGCCAACTACAGTTTCAGCACAATTGTGAGGCGTTTCAAGGAAGCATAAAGAAAAACAACTTTTATTGAAGATGCCACATAACTGCAGTCCTTTTGTCTGTTTGGGATGACACTGCTGTTGTTTTTCATTAGGCTGATGGTTCCTCTCGACATCTTTGCAGGATTGAAATTTGAATTGGTTTGTCCAGCTCATTGCTAAAAGTCTCTGTGTCTTTGCTGTTTCTCCACTGTTGTTTGTCATTTAAATAACAAATGCTTGCAGTTACCTGATTTAGTGCAGGGTGCTGGCCTCTGATGTATATTAATACCACAGCGCAGTGCACTGTACGGAGGTTCATCATTCATTTGGATAAAAGAGGTGGAATTTAAAAACAGCCTATGTTTTACTGGGATACAGATCGCATTCATTTATTGTACTGAGTGATGGAACGGCCCATAACTCCGTCCTTCACCTCTGCATGCCACACAGGTTCTAATAAAACTAAAAAAAGAACCGTTAGTGGTCCCTTAAAATCATGATTCTTGGTGGCGAAAATACTGAACAGATGACAGAGTTCCAGCCTTCCAGAATGTAAACAAGCCTTACCTTCATGTGTGTATTGTTCAAGGCATAAAAATACAATTCAGAAGCGCGTAGATCTCTACCAGTACTGCTTGCTTTGTCCTCTTTTTGTTTAAATAATATTTTTTTCACACTTTTGGTTGTTTTGTTTTTTGGTTTGTCAAGCTTGGCTGTAGATTTGTCACGTGTGTGACGTTAGTAAATGTCCCTGTTGTACAACTTGCAACTGCTTTGGATGAATCTCAGACTTGTTCAGTTAGATTATCTTTGCCTTCTGAAGGCTTTGCCTTCTGATTTAATGCTTCAGTGACTTCAAGGTAATTTGCATTCCACAAAAAATATGCCACATGATGCTTAACATGTAATATTAAGTCCTGTCTATTACTTGTTTGTGAGAAGAATTACTCGTACATTGCTATGGTTTTCAGTAATCGTCACATTCATTCTTCTGCGATTGAAAGGAGCAAATTGTGCCTTTGACTGTTGTGAATTTTACTATTTCAAGTGCTTGAGCTGCTTTATGTTTTTCGTTGTTTTTCTCCCTTGGCCATCATGAGAGCTGTAATAAAATGTGAAAATCCCTTGGTTATTCTCAAGTGGGGATTGTGTGAGGCAGACAGGTAGCGTCCCTGAGGAGCGCTCTTGGCTACCCTAGAACTGTACCCAGCTGTTGTTTAGTCTTGTTCCTTTACCCCATTAGCACTTGCCAGACAGAAGTGAACTATTGGTGTTGAAGTGGGCTGTGAAGAACTTATCAATTCCTCCGTCTGTTTATATTAGCAGCCTTCTCAGCTGTGCTGGATTAAATTGGCCACACAGCGCGAGTTTAACTGGAATTTCCTACTATTAACCCCCCTTGCAGCAGTTGCTCTGTATCTTTCTCTTTTCTGATTTCTAAACTGGGAGGAAAGTAAACTCTGACATACTTCTTAATTTGAGCTTCTACCTTTAAACAACTGAAGCTGTGGTTTATTGCACAGAGACTTTGCATGAAGCATTTAGTCACTGGTAATCAATCTGGTGTACAATCTTGCTGGCATTAGGCAGCATTTCCATTATTTTTCTGCATGATTAATCGATAGTTTTTTTTTTTAAATGAACAAAATCTGATATCTGAGTCTCATACTTTTATTGGTGCTTGTGAAAACCAGATCTAACTTGGGGATGGGCCATCTGCCATGACACCAACATGTCGTGGTGCTTACTCTGAGTATAAAAGTGACAACATTTATGACTAGGGTATCAATTTTTGGACATTTTGATGTTGAAGCCTGAATGGGTTTATAGGATCATTACAGTTAATCATTTTGTTAGTAGAACTAATTTAGGATATGGCATTTCTTTCTCCGGTATTGTTGTGATTATATAGCATCCTGTATGTAAATCCTGTTGGTGTTTTGCTTTCCTCATTTTTCTCATTAGAAGAGCATGTGCTGTGAAAATTCAGGGATAAATGCTTCGTGCAAGATTTCCATTTGTTATTTTCAAGCAGATTTCTTGTTCTTCTTCAGAAGCTCCTCCTCCAGCTGGAGATTTTGGTAGATTTGTTTTAAGAAACGCTCTACCTTTGCTTTGCTACGGTGGCCAGGTTGCTGACAGATCGCCTGTGTCTGGTCCTCTTGGTTTTCCCCCAGTGGGCCAGCCCTCTCTCATTATCCCAGGCGCCAACTTGAGGGCCACATGGCAGCACAAGACGAATAACGGCACATTTCAGCAATCAGTTCTGCTGACAGAACTGCAGCCCACCGCAGAATTTCACCCTCTCTGGCTCCCTCTGATTGTCCTTCAAAATCCACAGCCTCTGCAAACGGAACTCCGGAAAAGTTTTAGGAAAGGGGCGTGGGGACACATGCAGCTTGTTAATAAAGCCCAGGGAACTTTGGTTTTTTTCGCATTCCATTTCCAAGAGCCACAGTGGAGAGGGCTGTCACCTTATCATGGTAGTAGTTGCCTTGTCAGGTTGATCTTTCCCGACATCTTAACTAGAAAGAAAATAAATTCTTCTGTCCTTCTTAATTTGAGCCTCCTCCTTCAAACACTTGCAACTCCCTCATCAGGTTTTTAATTTCTGGTTCCCCTCCTTATAATGGTAATTGACCCCAACACGAAGACTAGGACAGAAGTCAAACAGACCAGGGCCTGGCACCTCTTAATCATTATTGAATAAAGCAAAAAGTATGTGACTACTAATTGAAATTATTCTGTAATACTGTTGTTTTTAGTCGTATTATAGTATTGTATACTTATAAATGTTTAATGATTCTATTAATTTAAATATGTTGTCTTCCTGTATCAAAACTTAAGGCTTAAGAACACTAAGAACATTGTATATTGGTTGTGGGGAGGGCAGGAAGACAGAGCTTTCTTTCAGGATGTGATTAGTAATTATTTTTTTAATTTTTGCTTGAAAACCTTAGGAATCTAATTATCTATAGATAGTGGTGTACAGGTCATGAGGAGACGGGGTAACATTCCTAACATGGAAGTGTTTAACCTGATATAATTAAGTTTATGTTTAAAATGACCATCACACATCAGTCCCTCAAGAAATATTACTCAGTTATTCCCCCTCCTTAAACAGTTTATATGGTAGCTCATCTGGCAAGAAGAACATGCAGATATAATGGAGAATGCAAGAGGGACCAGTATTAGGTATTCATGGATTTGTAAGCTGCCTGAAACACAAAATTGCAGTGTTTAAGTTTTTAATGGAAATACATTAGGAAGAAAAAGATATATTAGGAGACATGTTTGATGATTATTTGTATTGCTATTAAAATTATGAAAAAACCTTTAACAAGTAGATTTGGAGTAACTTTGCAGTTACGTAATTTTGCAGATCTTACAAGGAGCGCCTTTTTGGTTTGGTGACTTTTTAAGAGCAAGCAGTTGCTATGAATTATTGTAGTGAATATTAATGATCTATAACGCAGCATGTCTCTTTCACTTGTCAGCTACGCCATGCCGATGAGCCCTAATAAGGGCAGAACAGCTGTGTTTGGCTTCTGACATTGACTTAATACCGTATATAAAAAGTGGAATACGTTTTGTTGCACAGTTTTGCCCCCTAGCTATGGAGTGCTGAGTGCTAATGTTGTTTTCTGCAATATAAACATATTTCTCCCTCCTTTGTAGCGTGCATACCATTCCATGAGGATACTCTGGGAGAGGTGATAGAGGGCTCTCAGAGTGACACCCGTTCCTTAGGCAAGGGGTCGACAGGGGGAGGAGGACCTGTGGTACCCGAGAAGCAGGATTTCATCAAGCCAGAGAGCTTCTTTGACTCGCAGAAGGAGCAGGAAGAAGACTGAAACTAATACTCCAGTTCTCGGACATTTTCTGAAGGCGCGCTGGAACAGGTGCACCAACTCTAACTTCAGTTGCCAGTAAATGAGGGGAAAAAAGAGGCTGGAAATGTTTTACTGGGCTTTAAATTAAGTATGGGAAAAACGGAAGAGTAAAATTAAGAAACCCAGGGAATTAAATTGCATCTCTTCATAGATGGTGCTGAAACAGATTTTCTGTGCAGTGCTTAGAAAAAAAATGTTAATGCAATCAGGCCTAATCACTTCACAGTCATTCTTTTAAACAGGATGTTTTAGAGGGCTGCTAAGCAAGTCTGTCTTTTGTTTTTGTGACTCAGGATTCAAAATGTTTGAGACAGCCTTGAAGGCTCCCTAATAATCCTTCTTTGAACATTACACATCTGTCAGCAGGGATATTTGAATCATTTTTAAGAGCTGTACATTAAATAAACAGGAATCCAACACAATGGCAAACGTAACTGATAACATCAGAAACCTTCAATGCTTCATGCCCTTTTAACTAATAGTCACAGCCTCAAAAAATGAGCTATCCCAAAGAAAATATTTATCTGGGGGGGGGGGTCAGTATTAGCATTGATTTGAAAATGAATACATTGTAAAACTACTCGTTAGCACAATAAAAGCACTTTGTGTTTTTGGACCCTTAGGGGTATTCCTTTTGCTCAGTATACCTATTTAAATTTCAAACACCACTAAGGCATATTAGAGTAAAAACTTAAAATATATTTCTGGCATTAGAGATGGCATCACTGTTTGGTGTCTTCAGATGTGTTACACACAAAGCTTTTGCTGTCTTTACCATTTAATTTTCATTTTGTCCCTTTGGGTGTAATTCTGTAGGGTGGTGACAGTGTGCCACTGTACTGCAGTAAGAAACTGTATTCTAAAGTCACTGGATTCTACACTGACATCACAGTCAGCCCTAGCACCCACCTGAACCTTATATGGATGTCTCTTGTGTAAATAAAGAAGGGATATTTTTATGTTACTGACCATTCAGAAAAATAACATTGCGCATATCACAGAGATTTTTTGCTTCCACTTCAGTCACTTATCCCATGACCGCTATCCCTGCAGAAGAAGACGAGCAGGCGATTGTTCCAGAGACGCAAGGAGGGAAGGGTAGACAATCGCAGCAAGCAGGGAGATGCATGGTAACGCATGGAAAGGTTGAAAAAGAGTGGCGGGTGCTTCAATGTCTCCTCTTCTGAAGGCGAGACTGTTTTTGTTTAACATGCACGCATAAAATATTGGCAAAACCATATTCATAGGCAATTCAGAAACACGTTATTTATGCAGATATGTCTTGTCCAAACGTTTCTGTCAACATTGATACAATTGAATGGTAATCATGTTCTAGTCAGTCGGTAGTTTGTTGGTTTGCCTGACTTAAGTATGCTACTACTGTACTTGTTATGCATGACAATGCCAAGCGTTGTGACAAGAATTTTGGAACAAGATTTATTCAGTGATTTAGGGATTGTTGTGCTGTTTCCAGGACCAAAAGATTCTGATTCGGTTGTGCTTCTGTTGTTAACTTGATCACAATTTCCAATCTTGGTTCAACCAGAACTTCTACTGGATTACAATTCCAGAGGAGACACTGGACCACATGATACTGTATGCATATCTTTTTTGACAGTTATGCATTTCCCGTGCTTTAGAATGCATTTGGAAAGCAGGGAAAGAGTTGTTTTGTTGTTACCTAGAGAATGAAATTTGGTCGGATTTTGCAGTTTTTGCTAAGCCGCGCGCCTCATTTGGCAAAAATGAGGAAACGGGGATTCATCAATCTACTAACGCAGTTACTAAACAAATATATCCAAGTTATGACTTTATTTTAGAAGAACTTTCAATGGAGACAATTGCCTTTGTAAATGTTTACCATCTTATTTCCTTTTTAAGAGATGAACATCTGGACGTCTTTTGATTTCACAGTTCCTTGCATTAATTCCCAAATCCACCCCACCAATCTGGTTAAAATGTAAGTTTCCCATTTTACAAGCTAAGAGGAAGCAGAGTTTCCTGCCAAGTTTAGTATGCAGGAATCTTGCCTTGTTAATTAACAGTCACGGTTGTGTGATGACTCTATTGGCTCAGCACCACCTGCATATTCAGAGGATGGATTTCCAATTGCCAGAGTTGTGCAGGAAGTTGGAGAGTGTCACATGGGTGCAGTCAATTGCCCTGTTACAGTTAAGAAATCCAGCAGCCTGATAAAGCTCATATTTTATCCCGTGTAAGGATTACCTGTCAGGGGCAGAAGAGATGTATTGATCTGTTTTCCTTTTTAGAGCAGCAATCACCTGACAAAGGCACCTAGAAGTGCGTGACTGAGTGATGCCCACACCATAACCCACAGCGTAGGTGCTTCAAATGACCCAGAGACAATGAAAGATAATGTAGTCATAAACTCAGCATGAACTTGTGTGAGCCTTGCCTCCACCATTTTTTGAATAGTATTGGTTTGTTCGGTCAGAGGTCACCGAAAAGAGTGTTTTTTTCTTTTAATTGAACAGTGTACTTGGATAACAATAGAACAAAGTGCTCGAAACACTTTTCCTGTGATCAACTTTTTCTGTTGTTGTGCAGCTGTACAGAAAAAAAAGAATGTATCTGTGAAAAAGTCCTATTGAATGCCGTCCTTTTTAAAAACAGATTTTTTTCAGGAAGATGGTTTTACCTTTTGATCTATGATAAAAGAACATGTCGTAATAAAATATTATTGTACAATATAAGTAAAAGCAAAGAAAAATTTCAATGTCCTATTTCAGTGCTAATATTTGTTATCATAATGAACTTTTTATATATGTATCCTTGCTGACAAATGCTTAAAAATCCACTGCAAACAAATTATGTGTTACTCACTATATGCAGCTATATCAGCCATCTATGTACTAGTGACCAAAGTCTTTACAGTATGTTTATCTCAGCGATAACATATTGATTGTAGTTTGAAATGGTGTACGACTTTCCTTTTGCTTTTAATTGAACTTGGCAGTTTCTGTAAACAAAACCCTTATTGTGTGTCATTTAAAAAAGATGAATGAAGTTAGGGTCTGCCCTTGCTGGTCATTCGGTTATTTATGAATTTTAAAATGGAGGTGCTAATATAACAATGTGAACTTATTAAACTTCTAGACAAATTGAACCACCTTTAACTTGTTCTACAGAGAAAACACAGTTGTGTGTGATGAAATGGAGGAAGGTGTGGTGCTCCACAGTCTTTTCAACTATAAAACAGAGTCCATTCAGTATTAAATGTAAATCTTAAGTATTTCATCCCCATTATAATTCATCAGTGATAAATTAAGTATTAAACTGGAATCCTGGCTGTATTATTCTGTAGTAAAATCAAAAACAGATTGTGCTACACAGACTACCAAGTACTTAGTCAAGGGTGGTGAATAAGTCTGCTGTTTAATACTTTGTTAGAGCCAGAGCTGATATCAGGGTTCAAGGGCAGCTATTCTATGCAGTACAAAATTAGCAAAATCATATCTTGTTAGTTATCTTTGTAACTTTAGTAAAGAAAGCATGCATAATTACTATGGTGACTTAAGCTATTAAAAGAATGTCTCCTGCCTGGAATGCTTGCAGTTCATAGTAATCAGTGTTAAATATGCAGTAGTACAGTGTTAGCTTGAGTAGAGAACCTGTTAATGTTTTCTAGGTATATGCTAGAATACAGTCACTTACAGACTTGATAACAATGTACAGTAAATTATCGTATAACCCTGATATAGGCTAAATAAAAAACAAACAATTATGATAGAATCCATCTTTTTACTTTGGTTAAGTTTAAAAGAGATTACAAAGACAAACAAAATAGACAACAAAAGATTTTTTTAAAAAAAGAATACAGAAAAGGAAAAGGTCTAGATTCGATTATCTTATTGTACTGGAACTTTTAATTGACTATTTTCTTACCAAATTAGCATATCTTCAGAGTTACTAGTTTAACAGTACTTCATAGTACCCAGAGTGTTGTGCCTGTAGAATTTTAACACTAAAACTCCCATTTGTATCTCTAGAATATTTATGGAATTGTATTACTTTTGTTTTTGAATGTTAATGTGTGTCCTGGATTAGCTGAAACGGATTGTTGCATAAAAAGCATTCCATCATCCCTGACATGTGGGTATACCTGTTGTATAGTAATAAATGTACAGTAGGTATGAAATATGAGTCTTTGTACAAGATCTATCAAGGATATTTGCCATAATAATTAATTTGGAAACGGATCAATAAAAAATACTAAAAGGAAAAAAATTAAAAATCGGTAAGCATGAACAACCCAATAGATGTTTATACTGTAGTTAGAACCTATGGTCTTCATTTAAAAAATAAATAATGAATTAACCCCAAATAATGAATTAACTGTTTTTAAAACAGTGTACATCTTGGAAATACCTTGATAAATATGTCCCCTTCCCTTTAAAGTGGCCACATGAAATCTTAGGTTATAAAAAAGCTTTTATGAACGATGATTTTGAAAATAAAAGTTTATGTATGTTCTGCAAGACTGCTATTATTGCAAGTTATTAGCTGGTCTGCAAATGTCCCCTGAATCACTGTATAAAAAAGTTTCATCAAGTTTTTGGACTCCTCAGCAAAAACTGACTAGACCGTGACTTTTAAATATATTTTTTTTAAAGTTTAATTCTTTTAAAAACCTTCTGACTGGAAGAAGACTATTTTGTAGAAACCTTGCAGTTAATATATTGTATAATGGATGAAATGTAGAAAATATGTAATCTTTCCTTTACTTATTATACAAAAAAGGAAGCTGATGAAACCACTTACAAAATACCTGAGGCAGAACATTCCATCCACACTGCTGAAAACTCAATAACATAATGCCTGGTAAATATCCTGGTATTGTACAGGTGATTTTTAATTGGATCTCATGCTTTTGAAATACTACAGTGAACTGGTTTCACAGATCCAAAATTTCTTGGCTCAAAGGGCATACGTAATATTTATATGTACTGTACATTTACTGTTAGTATTTTGTCAGCTGAGAATAGAAAAGGGCCACCTGTTCCTGTTCCCTGCAGATTGAAGTTTTCTGTGGCCTTGTTCACTCACAGCGTGCTGATACTGTGCAAGTTGGATTTCAACAAAACACTCAGATGGGAGAAGTATAGGATCATAGGATAGCAAATTCCTTTTACTATCTTCATAAACATATCCACTCCGACTGTGGAAAACAAATCATTTTTAAAGAGTTTTGTTTTTCACATTTTTTAAATACTGTATGCTTGATATTTGCTCTTAATCTGTGGGTTTTAAAAGTTGTATTTTACTTATGAAGTCATGAGTTCCCTATCTGGGGGAAAAAGTAAAAACAGTGCAAAGATGTATGATGTCAATAAACATTTTGATCCATAATCTGAGTTCTCTTTTTTCATAAACTGAAGTACAAAGGAAAGAATACTGTATATGCTGATGGTGTTAAAATGACAAGTAATTCAGTTTTCTAATTTTATAATTATAGTTGGAATCAACTACAGAAGACGAGAGATTTGGTTGATGTATAGTAAAATAGTAAAACAGTAAAACTGGTATAAAAATGGTTTTGAGCACAGTCACATCTTCTTTTTAAAGTTCCTTATTTTTATACAATTGAGATACTATATTGTGTGATGTTCCAATCAGTAATTCAGTAAGTATTACAATAGTCGTCCTTCTTTATTTTGTCTACTCCTTACTAATAAAATGAGGTTTGTGTTCTGTGCTGTACTTTGGCTGTAAACTGGTAGAAAAATATATTTTTTGCTTGACCAAATATCCCAATGGCGCAGTATAGTATTACTTTCAGTGTAAAAATTATACTAATTGTTTGAAACGGCACATGGGTGAAGAAGTTCATTCTGCATATGTGTGAAATACTGTATATCTGCAAAGGAATATCCTTAAAGATGGTCTCTTTCTGATGTGTGTATGTTTAGCATATAGACCATTATATGAAACTTGAAGGAATAAACCACAGTTAAGGTCAGTAGCAAGGTGCACAGACTGGCAATGTGCAGGAAATAGTGGACGATCACACCATTTTTCCCACATAAAACTTCAAATTACTGTTCATATGTTGGAGGTGACAAAATGGGAAAAATCCTCTTCCCCAAGCATTAAAATTTGTAGGTGTGTATTCCAGCTTTTCTATTTTCAGATGCTGCTGTCGCCTCTACTGTCAACTGTTCAAATGGGCCTCAGAATTGTCTTATTTGCATTGTCCAAAGCAGAAAATAACTCAGTGGAGACTTAAGCTATAAGTGCTCAGCAGGGACTGAATTTACACTAACTTTCACCCTTGGGCAGTATTTGTACTAGTAAAGATCCAGGTCAAAGAGAAGGAATCTTCCCTGTGTTGTACATAACGTGAAGTGCACCCGCCTCCTTTTACTTCTTGTCTTGGAGGAGACTATAATACTGTACTGTACATCCCAGCATCACACAGGTAGTTCCCTTTCGAAGCACCACCTCCTACTACCAAGCTCATGCAAATTCACGCTTTCTGTATGTGTAGATGTACACACTGTACTGTATGTGTGCGTCACTTTTTCAGGAAAAAACAAACAAAAATAAAAGCTCATAAAACAAATGAAGCTAGGCAAATTCAAGGGGAAAAAAATGTTAATGTTACCAGCCTTATAAATTATAACCAGTCTTGCAAATTATTGTGCTGATAACGAGTTAATTACATATGGGGAGTTTAGTCAATAGATGCTCTGCAGTTAATCTTGTGGTCCGTGGGTGGGAGAACAGAACCCCCTCTGTAAGTGTTGAGAGCTGAGCAAATCACTCTTTGCGCCAGCAGTCAAGAGCTACAAATCGCATCTCTGGCTGTCTGTCTTTTTTCCCCCCCGAACAGATTGATGGAGAAATGGAAGAAAAATCAATGACTTCCTCTAGTCAGAAGGAGCGAGCTTTGTCATGTTTAAGAGTTTGATGTGCAGTCAGGGACTCGGTCACAAGGCCGGATTCTGCTACAAATCAGTCACTTTTCAGCCACTGTTTCACTAGTGATTCAGAGCAGGGAAATGAGGTTTTAGCCTGATTTACATCTGTGTTTTCTTTTCCCATTTATTCTGATCCATTCAGTGGCTGCCGCCTACTGCTTCAGGATGGAGGAATGGGTGGTGATAAGTGGGCCCCCTTTGATTTCGACCAAGTTGCAGAAACTTTTCTTTCTCGTCTTTCTTTTCATTTGCATTTTCCCTGACTGGATTCGCCAGCCCGGCTTGGGCACATTGAGGAGCGCGTGCCAGTGCGCTGGGTGGCAGAAAGCATGTGGACCTTGCCCAGTAGGAATCTGGAGACTAGCCTGCAGAAGAGGGGACTCGGCTCAACAGTCTTTCACTCTCTTTCCTGGGGAAGACAGGGATCTGTCCATGAGCTAACTGTATAACAGGCTACAATGCCACTCTTCCTGACATCTTTATGGGCAGATGCTACATCCATTTACTATAAAGGCAAATGGGGGGGAAAAAAATCAGTTCCCCAAACCCTGCTCTCTCACACCTGACCAGACTTCTGTGAAGATGGGACTCGAACCCCAGTGCTGCTCTTAAAGTCCATCATTTTAGAACTTTGTCAGTCAGCCTCAGTTTTCTTGTTCATTCGTTGTGAGATAAGCTTTTCTGACATTTTGGTGTTCAGTTAATTCAGTTTGATAAAAAGTCATACAAACGTTGTGATAGCAAACACATCCTTTATCCTTATAAATCTGTCTTATAATCATATATTGGTGATGTACTTGTTTATTTTAATATAAACCTCCAAATAATTCAGTCCTATATCCTCAGATGTGTAATATTTAGTGTGAATGATTTGTGGTGTGTATGACGCGTTCATGCTATTTTATATAAGCTTTTAATGAAGATCTTTCTCACTGCCTGTAAGCATCAGTGTCTGCTCCATTGTTTTCCCTTGCATTAGAACAACAGCATCCCTTTTCATTTTTGTGGCATTTTTAATCAGTGCATTACGAGCCTCCCTGAATGAGGTACGTCCAAAGTTGGGTTTCCTGACAGCCAATAAAAACCTTATAATCTCTGTGATTCAAGCTGCCCATTTTAAAAATACTAACTAGTGCTATCAGTCAGCCTTCTTCCTTTTAATGCCATTTTTTTTATTTAATATATAGCCCATGAAAAATGAGAGACTCACGGCTTGGCGTGTAGATATTTTGTTGCTGATGATGCGAGACGAATTTCCATCACAGCTTTGTTTCCACTTCGTGAGCGGATAATCTTTTACAGCGCACGGGAGAGAGCCGAACCCATCAATCTCTATGGCTTATGGCTGCCGTTCAGTCACATTACCCAACCAGAACACACTCCAAATAGAGAACCCGGGGAATTTGGGAGACTTCATGCCGTGTATGTCATGGGAAGGCATTTCTGCAGTTCCTGCATAGGAATCCTCGCTTGTTCCAGAACTGCTGACATTGTCCCACGGGCAACATCACAGCCCATGTCTCTTGAAGTTTAGCCATGGCTCTTAGTAGTAAATTGAAGTGCTGAGCTTTTGGTTCACCAGTTAAGTTTTTTTTTTTTACCATCATTCTCTTTTTATGTTTTGCCAAATACAAGCACAAGCACTTGGATCGGGTGTGTACGTCAAATGTCTTCTCAGCAGATGTTAGTTTCTGAAGCATGACAGCCCAAAGTGCTCCGCTTACATGTAAGTTTAAATTATTTTATTTGCCGATTTAAAAAACATGCTGTACACAGAGGGGAAAGATAAGATGTGGTAATGACATCGTTGTTTCAAATAGTTGTCAACCATCTGCGAAAACAACAAGTTACATGAAAAACAAACCATTTGCTTAGGCAGAATTAAAGATGATCACCAGTGTACAATTCCAAAGGTGTGTCTAAATTAAAATGAACCATTAGTTAGATTAGTAAAATCTGTGTCACAAGTTTGCTGGTCAGAACAAATAAATTCTATTAGACTAAATTTGGTTTTAAGATCAGGCTCAGGTGTAAAACAATAATATAGTTCAGGTGGGTAGCTGCGTCAGCATGCGTAGGCTGCAAAGGAACAAGTAATAGGTTTATTCCATGCTGAAAAAAAGAAGAAAGAGAACACAACATTTCGGCCGTGGAGCCTTCTTGAGATGTGAGAGGGACAGGGCAGTAGGCAAAGGTCAACAATAATATATACTGACCCTTTGCTATGTTCTTCAGGTAAAGCACAGAACTACTTTAAAATGGGTTTGATTATCAACGTATTTATAAAACCCCAGACTATTGTGTCTCTTCACCACAAGGGGCTGTCTGTGGCTCCCACATCATGACTATTGTTGGGAGATCACAGTGATTGACAGTAATGAGAACTGGCAGCATCAATCGAAGGTAAGTAAGGGGCACAATATCAGCTTCTGCTGGAGTTCTGACCCACAAACCACAAGTTCTTGTCTCATGTCTTCGTGATGTCTTCCAACCCACTCTGTCACCTGTGAAACTGTACATGTCAAATGCAGGTGTAGGATTGAACTTTGGGGTGCACAAGCTGAGGCTCCAAGCAATAGGAGGGATATAACTTTGGGGCCCAAGAGCTGACAGCTCTCTACAAAAGGAAAACTGCTGTACTCATAATCTGAGCAGAAAAAAACTCTTTCCTTTCAGAAAGTATAGACAAGTAGAGGTTAGAGCTCTGGACCTGTAACTAGAAGGTTGTGATTTTATATCCTGTTTCGGGCGGTGTTGTTGTACCCTTGAGAAATCTTCTTCATGTAGAGTGTTTCAGTAAGGTGTCTAGCAGTATCAATGGGTGCAAAGGTACATCACTGTAAATAAAAGCGTAAATCAGGTTTAATGTTAAAACAGTCCCTGTTTTAAATGATATATATCCTATTTCATTTTGAAGGAGAGCTGTTTTCTACTTGTCATTTCCAAGCCATTTGTGATAGTGTGTTTGTTTGTTTGTTTGTTTGTTTGTTTGTTTGTTTTTTCCTGATTAAGTGATTGATATATGGTGGTGGATATATCACGATCCCAGCTGAGCCGTGTCTATCAATAATTCTCTGACATATTGGAGACAAAAGCAAAGGGAAGCCCATCGCTGACCTTGGGGTGCAGGAGGGGCTTTTCACTTCTAATTGATCCACAAAAATGCACATGAAGAAGATGTTAGAGCGAAATGAAGTCATAACAGTGAATTGAGACATTTATTAGGTCAGAAGAAAGGCTTTCAGAAACGTTGAAATTGTTTATTGATTTTTTGTTTTGGCTGGCTGCTCAGGAGTAATCGCCTGTGTTGCTGCTCAAAAAAGGCTTGTTTAGCTAGTCTCTGCCAGCCAGGTGAGCATTGCTCCGCATTCCAAACTCTAATCGTTTAATTGCTTAATAAATGACAACTCGACCATTGTGATT